ATATGGTTATGTCCCAAGCTTTTAACCCTCAACCTGAAACCCTGACACCTAGATTCAAGGTGGTTCACTGGAAGATGGTCTTCCCAATTGTCTGGCCCAAATAGACAGGCGCCACCGTTATGTTGGGATGACAAAATAGGTGGATTCCTACGGATATTAGATGTATGTATATAAATGGGTCAAGGGATCATGGGGGTCCTTATGGGCCCTGAAAAATTAGGATCAGGATAGGATTTTGGGAGGTTTGGGAATTTCCGGGGTTCATTATACGATAGTTTCTTTGCTAGAATTGCATGCAGGGACCGTAGGGTATGTTTAGCGTTGTGTAGTTAGGTAGGAGTCATAACGGGGTAGGATGCTTACTTGCGAGTTTAGGGTTGCGATCTCCGGGCTAAGGGCTTAGGATTTACGCTTTTGGGCTTGAGGTTCAGCGCAAAGAGTCTACAGGGTGTGGGATTCACGGTCTCAATTTTGGAGGCATCTGCTTCAGGACCTGACCTGTGCAAAACATGGTCATGCCTTCCACTAGGGTCTACGTCAAAACGAAGCATCTTTGGTTTGCTTGAAATTGCCGGCGATACCATATGTTGGGGACCTCAAGTGTATGAGGACACCTCCTGGGTGGTGGTGCTGGCTGGGCAGTTAAACACGGGGACGACTGTACCCTATCCATGGCCTACAGCCAAACAATAGGATCCATGGCATAGGACCCGCCCCAGAAGGAAGAGACCCAGAATTTTGAGGGACAACTCCTTCCAGTGACGCTTGGTGCAGGCAAGCCGTGCAGGCAGCCGAGGGTCTTGCGGAGAATGACCTCTTCATTATGATGAACGGCTGTCGAGATCTCAGCCTTTCGTGCTTCATGCTGATGCAGGAGGGGGAATGGGGGAGTGGATCCCCAAGTGATCTGTTAAGATCTCAGCCTTCCATGTTTGGTGTGCACCACCCACGAATCTCCAAGGCGGCAACTATCAGTTGCTGCGCAAGCTGTTGGATGCAAAATCTGGGACGCTGGCAGATCCTGCAGAAGAAAAACGGAAGGTTGCACCTTGGACCTTGGATTCATCCCTGAACTCTTACGCCTGCAAGCCCTGAACTTAAAATGTGCGCAATCAGTCTATGTCATTTACATGTTCTTTGCCATGATTCATTTTCATTGTTCCCCATAAGCCCTAAACCTCAGAACCCTTCCCAAGCTGCAGGTGTTGCTTCGGAGATGCTTTTCTGGGTGCACTAAGGCTCGAGCCCGAGACAAGTTCAAAGATACCTGGGGAGTCTTCCTTCAGGGGGGTCCAGGCCTCAACTGCGACACATTGTGGTCCTTGAGCTCTCTTGAATTTGGGGATTTCCCAAAATTAGGGGTACCTTTTTAGGGGTCCCAATAATAAGGATTATAGTATTTTGGGGCCTATATTGGGGTCCCCCCATTTTGGGAAATTACCATTTAATGAAGCTTCCTGCCTAAGTACCCTTGATGTAAAGTAGTTGCGATAAGGAGCGGCTCTTCAGAAACTGCTGCAAACTCCGCCAGCCTCCTCGGACACCGCTCCGATCCAAAGAGAATTGGACGCTGGGTCTTTCTTTGCATGGTGTGTTTTCATAGAAGTTGTCAGCAATGATGGTGTGTTCAAGTGGTTGCAACAACAGCTTTGCATGAATTGACTAACATACCCCGAGTCGAGAGAGAAGATTCGTTTGTCTTCCTATGCTGGCGAGGTGACGTACGACATCTGATCATGGTGGTTGGTGGAACTGCGCTCGCTATGCCTTCCAGTTGGTGGTGTTACATAGTCCAGACCGCGTTTCATGGTGGCGCAGCGAAGGAGTTCAAGCTTCAAAGCCGCCACTCCTCATGCCCCGAGCCACAACGCGATTGCGAGGGGAAAAGGATCCTGGCAACGGTTTCTTGCTCATGTCAGCGGTAGGTGTGATCAGTTCTTTCATCATTCGAAACCATCAGGGCGCGGATTCTTGGGGCAAAAAGGAAAGTTATTGAAGCCTTGAAATACAACGAAGTCACACGAGTGGGCTTCACAATCCAGAAGAGGACATCTTTAGTTCGGGTTGACGATGACGTGGGCACTGCGCTGACCTGAGAGGGGTGTAGTATCAAGGTGCAAGGACCTGGCCCTAACCTAAACCTTAGTAGCATCCATAGATTGGCTGACTGACCACCGACTTTCCGACGATACTTGGCAGAACAGAAGAGATGAATCAACAGTGTCCTGGAAGAGGTGAGGTGATCAGCATGGTGATCATTGAGCAAGTTGCCCATGCCCACAAAGCAATCTGACAAAAACTCTTTGACGCGAGCCAATGCGCTAAGGCTGCTTGGGGCTTGTACACTACCGCGGAAAGGGAGAAAGGTTGCTGGATGACATGCGGAGCAGGATGATGACCTCAAGCTCTCCCTCTCTCTCTGGCTCCCTCCCTTCTCCACCCAAAAAAGATATTGATGACGGTCATGGGCAGACGAAAGCACTGGAGCGACCGATTGAGCAATGAAGGACCATCTGCACCTCATTGTACTGATTCATGCATTTGCATTGAAGTCAGTTGGGCTTTGGGAGGTGCTTGAAAAGTTGTCTATGTCCCCTACTACTTTAAACGACCCCGGATACCAATTATTCTGGCTATCTAATAACCCCTTCAAAGGGACCCTTTAAACTCAAAACCCTACACCTTAAACCCTAAAGCCTAATGGCTAACATCCCAAGGCAAGACCCGAGCTGCTGCCAGGGCCTTGACTGATCATCCAGCCATGTTTCTGGCTTATAGTCCCCCTTAAGTAGATAGAATATAGGGCTTTATAGGGGTTATATAGGGATAATGGAAAAGAAAATGGAAACTACTATATTATAATAAGGTATATATTGGGGGTATGGTCCCCCTTAAGTAGATAGAATATGTATTATAATAAGATCCCCATATACCCCACATTCTATCTACTTAAGGGGGACTATAGGATTTCCGCGATTTAGGGGGTTCAGGGTTTGGCAATCAGGGTTCAAGGCTTGGGCTTGAGGGCTTATATTCTGGTTTAGGGTTTACTGTAGGGCTTAAAAATGCACGGCCCCCGTACGTATGTTGAAATCAAAAAATGTAGTTCGTATCAGGGAGGTCTCGATTTCTGGGAGCACTCAAGAGATCGGCTGGTTTACTCAAAGCATGCGCCTCTTTTTGCAGGCGCTCGGAACCCACATCTTGCTTACGCTTAAAGTCTGATCCTGCCTGCGCGGATGCTTCGGAAGAAGATTTCTGATTTTGGGGCTCTATATACTACTATATTACTACATTACTGTATACTACTATAATTATTCATTACTACATGACTATACTACTACATTACTACTAGCAGCAAAAGAGTAACGTGGACAGGCCCTGCCCCACGAACGGCCTGACACTCACTACATATACCTAAACCTCCCAGGGTTCAGCGTTTAGGGGTTAAGGGTTACCAGGCTATGTAACTACAGAGAACCCAGAACCCATGACTTAGGTAACTGGAGCCCTAGGGAATATTGTTAACAAAGCACATTGCACTCGTTTACCCAGTATCCATATCATTTTCCATGTGATTTCCTACCCTAAACCCTGAATTTTGTTTATGTACACCCGTTTACGGGAAACGCTCTTATAGAAATTCGCAAAAAGTTCAGGAGTTGTATTGGGTATGAAATGTGTGAGAAAGACCATGAGATCAACAGGGACCCCTACAGTCCAATCAAAATCCCGGTTATCGCTGGGGTCTTTCAGGTAAGCCTTCTGAGAAATCCCGCATAAGAGGTTCATCCTGCACAAGAAAAGTTTGCCCTCATAACCTTTGTAGAGTTACAGTGAAGCATACTGCCGGTTGAGGCAGCTAGCCCCAAGCCCAAGCCCCCTACCCTGCCCCCTACCTAAGCCCCAACAAAAGCATAACAAAAGTAAACTCAAGCCCTAAATCCTAAGCCCCTAATCCCTAAATCGATGTTCTCAGAAAACCTGCTCCTTGTATGAGAGGTTCACTCTATACATGTGGCCCTTCATCCTGGTTGCCTACGTCGCCTCTGGCTGGGGCTTTGCCATCTCATGCGCACGGGGCTTGGATGGTAGGGTGTAGGATTGTGGGTTTATTGTTGGGGTTAGGGTCCAGGAATCATAAGGGATGGAAAAGAAAGTGGAACCTGTTATGTTGCATAGTCAGATATTGTTCGTAATGCGGTTGAAGCATGGCAACTAGACATGCCGTGAGCCCCTTTTGCACTGGGTTGGGATCCGACCCTTGGCCTGTGCTGTAATCTGCGGCCCCAATAGTAGAGCTCCCACTCCCTCAAAAGAACAATATTCCCCCTGCTCATAATTAGTGATGCTGTATGGGCATATTCATTATTACGGGGGCAGGCTTAGCGTTTTGTAGGGGAAGGGGGTTTGTAGGAACACAGACAGGATCCCGAAGATCATACCTACATCCCTGTTCTCGGGGAATCGTGACCCGGGAAAGGCCAAATCCCTCCGGCGCGGATGAGAGCTTCCAAAAGGGGCCGGATGTACCCCGCAAAAGTAGATACCCAATGATCCAAGTTTGTGGGGTCGACAGTAAGATACAGTAAGAATCCTCTCCGGTACATAGGACATAGGCAAATTGGTGCATATGCTGCCATGGAAGCAAGCAGCAGTCATCACTTCGCATAGAGCAGTAAGTTACCACAGCCTTCCCTGCATCAAGGGGGCACGAGGCCCATAGACCCGTTAACATGTATCAGGGTCCCTACTGTACACCCTACAACCCAAGGAACCCGCTCCCCGATTAATAGTGGTATACTGAACATGGCATAGTTACAATGCCCTTTTTCCTTTGTGGTCCCTTCTTACCCAGGTTTGATTTCATTCTTCATCCTTCCTAAAACCCCATATAACCCTCAACATTCAACCCAAAACATAGCCAAACACACAGCTGCTGCTCCTCCCAGTGTTTGCCGGTGGAGCTTGGCGCCTTCATCAGCTCCATTCTGGCCTTCATGATGGGAGGCGGCTAGGTGTTGTGTAGGTGCCGTACAGAGATACTTTAGGGTTTAGGGCAATCAAGTGCGTTTGAGGGGAAGTGGAGGATAGGGTCCATTACAATCTCACCTAATCACATTCACTCCCCACTTCTCCTCAAACAGCAACCGGCAAGGGAAGCTTTATTATCATAGTAGTATATCATTATAGTAGTATACTAGTATTAGTATAGTATATTACTATCATTATTCTTATTTCATCAGAAAGGTCCTTCCGACTTGCATGCATCAGGCATACTCGGACTGCCGATGCAGATGTCTACTTTCCTGAATGGCGGCCCGATGGAGATTGTGGCAGGAACCTTGGCAACTGTGCACAGTGGGTCCCGGCCCTGAGCACCAGCCACATCAAAGGTAGACTGCATATCATTTACTCGGTGGAGCGCGGGAATGAGCTTTTTGGCCCGCGACCCGGTATCGCCTGCCAGGACACAACTAGTATTTATTATTCCCTGCATATATAATTATAGAGTAGTTAGTATGTAGCAAATAGAACAGAGATTTGCGAATACCGTGGCATCACCTAAGGAGTACATCACCCTGCATCCTCCAGATGATGACGAGCTGAGCGAACTGAACCGGCAATTGCTGAACATGTGCCGCCCTAAGCCCCATGGCCCCACAACAACTTACTGATGGTTAGTGGGAATGGAGGAAGGGACCGCCAGAGTAGTGCCTATAGAACCCCCTGAAATGCTCCCCCTATGCCATTCTTGCATTCCCGGTGGATGGAAATTTTGCACCACTTAGGAACCCCATCTTACTGCAATTCCTATAGGTTATGGGGTACACTAGGCAATGCAAGATTTTCCTCATCCACAGTACTGACCACCAGTAAGCACTACAGTCATTGCGGCAATGTTTGGAGCTTGGCGACTCGAGGTTCAAATCTGCTTACGGCTCGTGTGGCACACAGAACTGCGGGAGTTTCTGAAAATGGGGGGCCCTTAGGGAGGCTAAGGGAAGGGATTATGGTGGTCCCTGCTCGGGTTGTGTTTTGAGAAACTTCCATGGTGCCTCAAAGCTATACTTGTAGCTCGACAGTCGCAGGAGACCCTGACAATAGATATTCGCAACACGGAACCATCATAGCTTGATAAGAACAGTGTAGAAGCCTACAATTTGCCACCACCATCCCTTTAAAATCCTCATATTTTCATAGAATAATACCGCTCGTATAGTTCTGGCGATGTGTACGCCAAACCAGAATTCTAATTAAATGGTCCCTGACATGGTCCATTAGCATTGCGGGGATTGGATAGCACTTAGAGGGAGGTAACGCGTGAGATTGCAAGGGCCCACTTCATGCTGGACTTGCCGGATGGTCAGTCGTGGACTCATTGCAGCGCGCTGCCACGCCAGTTGATGCACCTCATGCACATGTGGAAGTTCGTACGAATTGAAGCCTTACTTGCAGATTCGGGGTAACTGTAACCCAAAGACAGCTCGCACTTTTAGCCCAATTTTGCCCATACTGGGACATTTAGGGCTTGTGATTGGGTGATAAGACAATTATACACATAATTGCCCTGAACCTCCAAGCACAAGTAGAATCCTTTGTGGAGACCCCCATGCTGCTCTGATACTCCCTAAGCTATCCGAACCTAGGTAAAGAAGACAAAAGGGGTAGGGGGGTAGGGTATAAGGGTCTAGGAAAAGGGTTAGGGTTTAGGGTAAAGGGTGTAGGGTAAAAGGTAGATCCTTGACTACCCTCTTTTTTGAGAAGCATACGGCAAGGTGGTGGACTGGAGTTTGGGCTCTCATCGCTCAAGGCATCCCTGCCGGTCGCCAGTCAGGTTGTCTCCAGGGTTTAGGGTTGGGAATTTCCAGGAATCAGGGGCCCATTTTGGCGGGGTCCTGCAACAAGGATTGAAGATATGCTGGGATATAAATATTTTGGGACTCCCTATTCGTGGAAACCTCCAGACAGGAATTTTCAGCAACAGGGGTCCCCTGAGAATGCATTAAATTTCAGAAATCCTTGTAGTTATAGGTGCAACAAAACTGCCCCTCTCGAAGCCCTGAACGCTACATGTCCTTGCATACTCCTACAACATCCCGACCCCTAGCCCCTAAACCCTAAACCCTAAACCCCTAAACCCTAACTAAAACCCTAAACCCCTAAACCTAAACCCCTAAAACCTAAACACCAACCCTAGGGATGAAGTATACAAATAATACCTACATTCGGCCCTACAGTCTGACCTACCTTGGGCCATTTGGATCCCTACATACCCCCTACATGACCCCTATAAAACCCTATATAGCCCCAATAAAACCCAATAATACCTACATTGGGCTATTTGGGCTCCCAACGCACCCATTCAGATGTCTTGGAAGGCACAGTACTCCGGGTCGGAGGCTCAGGCTTCCTCCTGTCCCAGCAACATAGGAACGACTATTTAGGGATAGATTTCCCCATAAAAGGAAAATCAAATGGACCAGAAAATTAAAATTAGATGGAAATTCGGGTTGTATAGGGGATATATGGTGCTTTTTGCTTGTTTGGGGGGTCCTCCACCGCGCAAACAACCATAACATTCGCCTACCTATATGTACCCACTTCCGTCGGGTTGAAGCAGAGATCCACTTTCCATTAATGGGGAGGCATCCTTTTTGCGGTGACTCCTTTCACAGTTGAGGTGGTGGCATATGTGGGCCTGCGCTTCACAAATCGCGCAAGACAGGTCTAACTGCCGTGCACATCACAAGAATGTGCTGCCGATGTATAGGAGTTTCCTACATTTAGGGATACCATGTTGGGGTCCTCATAATAAAGATTGCAGTAATTTGGGGTCTAAGTAAAATGATTTAGCGTCCCCCTTGGGGAAAATACCGTATAGGAAGCACTGCCAAGAGCGTGGGGATGGGGCGTCTGGGCGCGCATTGCAAATGTAATGCTTATGCACGCAGACAAAGGGTACTCCATTTTGCGAGCAGGGGCTCTATCTGTTGCGCAAGTTCATGCCCACGCCAACACTCCACGAGCTGATCGATTTTAACACCTATATACTTGAATAAGAATGATGGCACATCTTGAAGACTGAGCTGCACTTGAGGGCGGCATGGACCAAACCCTCAGCCAAGCCAGTCGTTCAATGCCGCACGAATGTTTGAGCTTAGCTAATGTATCCTTTGGTCCAAGGTGGCCTGCCTATGAAAAAGGTGGCAGCTCAATGTCATGTGAGCTATAGTCTAAGCTCCTCAAGAAACAATCTGGGGGGGGTATTTAGGGCAGTAGTATATAGGGGGGATTTAGGGGGATACTAGGAGTTTGGAGACTATAGCTCATGTCGTGATGCCTCACACATGAGTGCACATGCCAGTGTGCAGCACGGCTTATCACTGTTGCATCCATTTTCCAACTTCTCGCGGCGAAGTTGCCTTGCAGGCATCTTCCACAGGAATCTCAAGCCCATGAATGCGCCCGGCCAAGCAAATTCTTGTGGTAGCAGAAATGCTGGCTATTCCATGCTATATGCTGCGCCACCCCGGCTCAAAACGTCAAGCTGCTGTCATCATGCAATTTCAAGCATCGAGTTAGTGCCAGCCACAAACCACCTTCATCCGCACTTGCGTACAAGAACCGCAAGAACCAGGGGAAATATAGGGTTATATAGGGTTATATAGGGAAAATGGAAATTGCGATTTAGGGTGTAGGGTTTCGGGTATGGCAGCCAGACTCAATGGAGAGCGCCTTCGTCGGACACTGCAGTTGTCCTTGGCGGCTTTAGGCCTCAGACGCGAGCTGAGAGAGACCCATTCTGAGGACATGTCTATAGCATACTCTGCATAGTATTCTGTATCCTATACCATATCACACACTACATCACTTACCATTTATCTTATAGACTATCTCCAACAAAAGGCCCTGAACTGGATTTTGCTGCAATGCTTCGGAAAAGATTGTCTGTCTACAAAGCAACCCTAGACCCTAAACCCTAAACCCTTCCAAAGCAAGGCTGTTTTCATCGGACCTTTCTGGTTCCTGGGCCAGCAGAGGCGTCATGTCAGCCATCCGAGGGCAGTCCTGGACTTCGGGTAGCTTGTTGAGCATCTTTACTTACTGGCTTTGAGTAGGGAATCTATTGGGTGTATGTAGGGCTACTGGAAAAGAAAATGGACAGGGCTACATTATCATAAGGTATACAGGCGTGCTATAGTACGAAGGCACTATGAGAATAGAGTAATATAGTATATAGAGGTGCTATAGGGATTATATTCCTTTGTTCCCCACGAAGAACCAGTAAGCATCTCTACTGATCAACAGCTGCAAGATTTGGTAGAGAGGCTTGGCATTCTCATTGTAAGACGCTAAACCCTAAAGCCTAAGCCCCAATACAGGAAGCAGGCATGTTACAAGGGCATGAACGCAGATGTCTAGCACTTGCTCTCAAGTGTCATGCATTCTCTGCCTAATTGCGAATTTGCGGATTACAAAGCAGACCTTCCCAAGAGAATATGCGAATTAATTCTTTTGTTGTTTCATTTCTTGTTTCGGCCACCGAGATCCAAGATTCCAACGTTTCCTTGGCTCATTACTTGCAGCAATGAGAATGGGCATGGATGGGCTAGATGGCTCGCACCATGATCTACAGCTGGGCCGAACGTTACAATTCCAATTTCTGACAACCACGTCATTTGTTCGGTGCTCGATTGATCTCGCTTGTTCCTGCGCTTCCCAACCCATCTCAGGAAAACTAAATACACAAACTCACTGTGCACCCCTAGGGTCACGAAGGGCCCCCATTTTGGGAAAGCCCATGATCGTAGACCTTTTGACCTTGCGTGTGGGCGAACCGCCAGGCGCTTGCAATTCCTAACTAAGGAGTTCTTTAGCAATTTGGCTTCGGCTCAGTGGCATTAGCGCGAGCTGTCGGAGCCATCATTTTGCCCGAACCCTGTTCAGAAACAGAGAAGCCTCCAAAAAGACACCTGCGGATACCGGTTGCCGAGCATGGACAAGATCCAGGTCAGCAAAACCCAGCAGCTTTGTGATGCTGCCGCCCTCCGTGCCCAGCAGCTGCACCCTGCCCTCCAGACTTTTTGCAGCTCAGTCCATACCAAGCACAGCCCATCTCCTTATCCCGCCTGTCCATGAACCAATTGCTCATGGACCATGCCCGCCATTTCCGGCTGCCGTTTCCGTCAAGCGCCCATCGTTTTGATCGTCCACACTGCTCATGCACGCAACCCTTCCCGCTCAGGCACCATGTACGGTCTAAATTTCTAGTATCACTCTGAATAAGCCGTACAATAAAGTCCCCTATAATGATCCCCTATAACGCCCGGACGCAGTCACCATCACTCTTCAGACGCTCCCATCTCCAAGGTAAGAGTTGGCATCAGTGGCTTGGCCGTCTGGAGGGTTCTTTGATAGGGACCTATATAGGAGATGTTCAGGGATAATGCGAAATCCTGTCCGCGGCTCCCCTTAAACATCAAAAAGCACAGGATCAGCCGGTGAATCTTGTATTTGGAGCTGTTGTTGCTTGCAGCTACCGCAGTTCAGCGCGGGCAAATTAATTTTGAGCAGCTGACCGTTTTTCAGTAAATACTGCAGGTTAAAGATACGTGTGCTGTCAGTTCTTGAGCGATACTATTGTTTTCCATCTTTAGCTGTCCTCCTATTCAAGGCTATGACTTTGAGGACGGAGTTGCCCTGGACAATGTAAGCTTGAATCCTGCCTTGGAGTTTGTGTGCGGCCGGGGGGATGTGGCTCCTCAAATCGAGGAAGAGGTGCAGACAATGAAGCTTGGAGAACGCCGCGCGTTGATGCTAGACCGCTCGAACCCATTGTTTGGATTTTATGATGAGAGCAAGTTAGTGTCGGTGCCCGCGTCCAAGGTTTCTGACGCTGAGATTGGCACAGTAGTTTCCCTTGATGGGTATGGAGTGGGAATGGGAGTCGTCGTGGAGCGCAATCCCCGGACAGCGCTCATAGACCAGAACCACCCGCTGGCCGGCAAGAGTGTCAACGTGACACTCACACTGTTACGATGTGAAAAGGTCCCACCAAGGGATGTCGTCGTACGGTCGTTGATCACAGGCGATGGCCGGACCTACCCTGCTTATGGCGACTGGCTCACACTGCACTATGAGCTCTCGCTTGCGGGCTCCAAAAAAATCATTGACTCCACTAGAGATGCAAGTCCCATGGAGTATCACCTGGGATTTCAGCCCGCAACTCTGGTTCCCGGATTTGAGATCGGAGTCCAACAAGTTTCGCTTGGCGAGGTCGCTTCGATACATGTCCCGGCTCAACTGGCCTACGGAAGCAAGGGCTCAGACAAAGGGATCCCAGCAAATGCGGATCTAGTTTTCAAAGTGGAACTTCTGAGCATTAGGTCAGAGCTGGAGCTCGCGTTTTGAATAAAGCGCCCGAAGCTGGGTGCCACGTGTAGGATACACTGCACTGCACCGTGTCCTAACCCCAGGCGTGGAAGTCCAATACTGTTTATGGTGTGAGGTACTATCCAAAGCAAGCGCTTGAGCTACATGTGGCATGCAAGCCAGAATCTAAGCTCCTCAAAGGGGGCCACATAGGAGATTTACAGGGCCCAATATAGCGGAGAAGTATAGATGTGAGTAAGCGGGGATACTACAGGTAGGAGTTTCGACTTTTGCCCATGTGGGCCAGAATTGAAGTGAGTTCGTAGCAGCTAGCAAGGAAGGACGTCCGGGTTGCACTTGCATCTTTAGCGTGTTGGCCCTCAGCCAGCCGCCGAATTTTCGCTGAAAAGCCATGCAGGAAAATGGATAAATCGTAGTTTCTCCGATTAGGGGGACCCCACTATAGACCCTAATATACTATAGTCCTTATTATTGGGACCCCCAAAAGATACCCCCAATTTTGGGAAACCCCCAAATGGATGGGAGACTGATGGCACTTCTCCAGGGTGCTGGGGCGCTGAGTTGACCATCCTCAGCCGCAAGCTGCAAACAAAAATGTGGTAGTATAATAAAATATGATGTACTATATAATGTAGTAATATATTCTTTAATGTACTAGAATATACTACAATACATTATAACTAATGTACGATAATATACTATAATAAACGCGCTCGCTTTGGTTTTAACAGTCTGCCCAGTGCTACTCAGTCTCTAGGCTACTCCTCAGCACGTTATTCAGCACAAATCCCGACATTGGGGCTTAGAGGCCTGGGGTTTCTTTGCGAGCAGGTGGCAGGACCCATGTGAGTGAATAATTTTCGGGGACTTAATTTCTTAGCCGAGGGGGTCTAGATCCCTGAGTCATAACACATGGAAGGGCGTTGGCGGATGTGATGCTTTGAGCCACAGTTTCCTGACCCAGCACCTGAAGCCACGAACGTTGCACTAAGAAGCAAGCTCCTGAAAGCACGGTGCCTCAAAGCTGCTAGCTACATGAACCATAGTCTAAACTCCTAGTATACCCCTCTATAGTATTTCCCTGTATAATCCCCTCTGGACTATGGCTCATACGATATTTGCATTCAGGCAGGCTGTGGCCTTTGTTTCCAATACAGCGCCCGTTTGCGGTCCCTTGTGCAGTGGTTTCAAGGTCAGGGGAGGTCTGGCATCAGGGGAGAAGCTTACTACAAAAGACCGTTGTTATGGGGTCTGGGGTTTGCCTTGGTTACAGTCCCCCTCAAGTAGATAGAATATGGCTTTGGGTATATTATAATAAGATCCCCATATACCCCATAGTCTATCTACTTAAAGGGGACTATACCTGGTGGGTTGTCATTGTTTTAGCGCAAGCCAGGCCTAAGCAGGTGTACAATGTCTCTTGGCAGTGAGATCCAACAAGTATGACGTACTGGTCAGAGAAACAAGAGTCCTCTCGTGCACCCTCATACTTTAATTAGGATGTAATGATTGAGGATCCTTGTTGTATTTCCTTCAAAAAAGGGACCCATGGTTTTGAGAAACTCTATGTAGGTCCAGGGTAAGGCCTTGATGCTTATCTTGTCTGGGCCTGAATGCCGTTATGTTGCGGTGTTTAGGGTTCGAGGGTTTTGGGGCTTGGGGTGTAATGGGATTTGGGCTTAGGGGGTTCTCTGGAGGGAACCTTGACAGAGAGCTGCAAAAGAGACATAATTCCCAAGCCCGAATCCCTACACACTAGAGTCACTAGACTCTGAATCAACCCTTATCCCTAAATCCTTATCAACAAAGCCCTAAATCCTAAACCCTAAACCCTAAACCCTAAGCCCTAAACCCTACATCAGGTGCTCTTCGACCCGGAGTCAGGAGCCATCAACCTGACAGATTTGGCCAGGCACTTGAAAAAGCCTGAACCCCCAGCCCCCAAGAGCAAAGGCCACCCACTATAGTAGCTTCCATTTTCTTTTCCATTATTCCCTATATAACCCCAATATATACCCTATTATACTTTAGTAGCTTCCAT